ATTGTCTAGCTTTACATGAACAAATTCTGTTGTTGATTTTACAAGATTTTTCCTTAAAGTTTAAAATGCCAGTAATCTTTGCTGGAAAATGTGTGCATTTATATGCATTTGATATTTTATTTCATTTAATCACAAACAAAATAAGAATTGTTTTAATAAATGTAATTTTCTTTATTTTGATCTTTAAAGTCACACCTTGTCCTATATGCGAGTAAATACAGTAATTATTAACAGTTCATTTTTAAAAATGTGTTTTATGTTCTTTTTTTGTATTGGTGAATATGACAATGGAAAATTGTGCAGCAGAAATTCAGTAGTTACTTGTTTGAAATGTTATAACAATTCACTTAAACTTTAAACATTTATTAAAATAATTATAATTTGATAATTATGAATGAAAAATTTTATATAATTAAGGAATATTTCCCAAACTAATAAAAATATCCGATCAAAAAAATGTGTGTGTTAATAAAATTAATACAAAAACAACTATTAAATAATTTTCTTATATGTATAGTTGTGATAAATTTTTTATAAGCATTCAACAACACAATACAAAAGCAGGAACTCAAATATTTAGATCTACTCAGCAGTTTGCAGAAGTTATAATTTTCACTACAAGATAATCAAACGATAACTACCTGCAATTAGGGTAAGAAATTTGGTAAGGCTGTGAATCAGAATTGGCAACATGCAAGCTGGTAGTATAACAAGAATGGCCAGCTCAAATTTGCCAAACTGTGCACCAGATGATCTTTCATTTGATCACCTGGTATGAACAGTGGACTAATATGTTATTTTTAAAAATTACTGTTCAAAACTATTGCATAACTTATGCAAATGAATCAAAAAACCTTAAAGTTGCTAAATAAATCAAAGCTTAACAATTTATATTTATTTATATAATTATTTATTATGAAGTCAATTTTGTTTTCCAAAACAACAGCTTGGGATAAAATAACACAGCTAAAACACTATTTACTACTAATTTTGGATAAATTATAAAAAAATTTTTTAAAGATTTCTAAACTGATATTTGTAGTTCAGCACCAAACTAAAAAAACATCAATTGCCTTAAACCTATTAGAAAAATTATTGAATTTAAAAATTTATTTATATTGTAAATACAGTACATTATTTATATATTAGTGTAGTGGAAATAATGTGCTGTACTTACAATATTTCTATGTAGTAGAAATTTCTTTGAATTAATGAAGAACAATGATCTAAAATAAGAATGCTAGTAACATATATATCATTCTTTTAAATGCTAAAGTCCAACAAAATTTTAATTTATATATAGTAGTTTAACATATTCAATTTTAGAAATTTTTAAGAACAAACTACTAAAACTTAATATACTGGATATTAGCAATTAAATTAATTAATGTATTTAATTAATAGCATTCAACATATCTCTACAAACTTAAATCAGATTATTTAAAATTAATAGTTTTTAATGTTTTAAAAATTTATAATATTTTATATTAATCTGTAAATAACTGAATACTGTTAATATCATTAATTATGTTAAAAATTGAGAACAAAAAATAAATAATCTTAATATACAAAGTCCTTGATTTGACTGATCCATATTTGTAGAAGTGCATAGAAACTATACATATCATATCATATATAAAGTTATTATTCAAATATTACATGCTGTCTGATTTTGAATGTATCAATGTATTAAGCAATATTTAGTTTTTTGTCTTCTGAAACTAGAATTAATACTTTAAGTCTTTCAGTATACATAGTTATGCTTTGATACATTTCTACAAATGTAAGATCAGATAACAATAAATATTTGAATTATAGAACATAAATTGATATATACACTAGAGATGTAATAGATATTGAACTGATATCAGAAACATTCTGATATGCAGTATCATTCATTGATATTAGATATGCTTATTGATATCAAATTGATATCAGTAAGCATCTCTAATATAGACATTCAATATATATACAGTGGAACCTCTATATTCATAATATTTGATATTCGTCACATTTTGATGACTTTTTTATTTTTCTATATTCATTAGTATTTTCTGTATTCATCATCATTCCCAACTCCAGAAATGGCACTACAATCTCATGCCTGTGCCGATTAGCTAGCCATTTTAGCTAGTTGTAGTTAATCAGTCTGCTTTGTGTGGTCATTGTGTGTGTTGTTGAGTTATTGAAAAATAATTAATGCAAGAAACCAAGTTCCAATCACTCCAAAGTGGCACTCAAATGTTGCTATATTCAACCAAAATACAAATACATTCAATGATAATGTAATTGCCTACTTCAGAAAAGTTTTAAAAAGCAGACAAAAACACACAACACCGGACAAGTTCTTTATTAAATTGAGTGCTACTGAATCATCGGCAAAACAGACCCCAACATCATATTTGGAATTGCCTAATGTTTTAATTGATATGTCTTCTTCTAAACAATAATACTGTCCTTCCCCTTCTACCACTATACCACATATCTTTATTGTACTAAATAAACACAGTAAAGTTTCACAAACAACATAATTTTTATTCTTGTACCTTTTTTTCAGGATGGGAACAGATTAATTGAATATCAGTTATTTATTATGAGAAAAATTGTTTCTATATTTGTCATATTCCATATTCGTTTGGTTCTTGAGAACAGATTAATGACGAATATAGAGGTTCCACTGTATACATATATATATTATACACAAACTTTTCTTATGTTGAATTGCAAATCATTATTAAAGTTAGAATTAAGTTATGTAACTTTTAAAATCTTTATACTATGCATGTTTAAGTTTTATAATAAATAACTTTCATTTTTTAGTTATAAAATGTAATATTAATTTTATAAAAAATAATTGTTTATTTTTATATAATAAAATACATCTAAACTGATCTATAATTATCAACATTCATTAATCTTTATATAAAAATGATTATTGCTTTATCAATATATTTACATTGGCAAAGCAGCACACAAATAAAAAATTATTTTTTAATATTTTTGTTCCAGTAAAATGTAAGGCATAGATACAATTTCTTTATGCTGTTATTTAACTAACAAGTAAGTCCTTTTCTATAAATGTCTTTAAATTTAATTCAATCTTCAGTTAGTATACAGATATACCTTGCTTTAAGACACTGCTTTGGAGTGCTTGGCTAACATGGCACTTTTCAATTATATTCATGTTTATTATTTTCAGCATTTGATTATTTTATTATTTTCAGCCTCACTCTTAAGAGAATTTCCAGGGTATTCATTACTTATAAAATACTTTTGAATAATTATTTTTAGATCTACTATTATTGCATACATAATAAATGACAATGTAAATATGTTTTTAATGGATTTATATGCATTAGCAAGTAGAATAAAAATATTGTAATTTGCTTTATGGTGGTGGTCTGGAATCCAACTTGCCATATTAGCAAGATATGCCTGTATTAAAAATTTCTAAAAACAAATCTTTTGAATATATTTTGTTGGAATTTAGCATTTAGAAAGATATGTCAAATATTATGAAAATCAGAAGATTAATTAATATACAAGATTTTCTACTCACTTATCACATAAAATACTATAGGTATAGTTTTTTAAAATAAGATTCTAAATTATCATATATAACTACCATAAAAAACAAAACTAATATTTAGTATCATACATTATTTATTTTTATTCTGCATTTTATATATATATAACAAAATTATGAATTTTTGATATTATAATTAGGTATGTGTTTATAATGGTATATGTTTATAATAAAATAATTACACAAACTTAACTATGTATATATTTTAAAATTACTTTGCACTTTAAAATTACTTGACATCAATCATTTTAAAGTGTCATATCAAGTTTCATATTTTAATATACTTTTTTATAATAATTCATCACAATATTGTCATTGTTTGGTTACTTTATATAAAATATTTATGTATAGCAAAAATATAAATAGACAAAATTTTCAAGAATTACTGAATTTTTTATATTAATTATTACAAAGATATAATATAAAAACTCTAAATTCATTATAATTCTTTTGTTGTAAATTAATTCAAAATATTTAAAATTTATTTACAACAATTTAAAACACCTGTGCAATTTGTGCATGTTGTCAGTGAAATTTAGTATTAAAAAATGAAAATTATTTACAATTTTTATAATACACATAATATTCAGTACTTAAATTCCATGAATATTAAATAATTAAATATTTATTGTCTATTTCTTATTGATTAATAACATTTTAGACAAAATAAACAAAGTTTATTAAACTTTTTACTTATTTTGTGTAAAATGTTGTTAATTCAATAACTAATCTAAGAATAAATTTTATTAGCATTTAAATAAATTTAATATTGATTATGTATGAGAAAGAAATTTCTTAAAAGTTAGTGTAATAAAATGTCATTCAAATTCAAGTAAAAGTTTCCAACACATAATTAGCATTTTTTAAATTTAAAATATAAATTAGTAATAAATTTTTAAAAATATTTTTCCAACAATTTGAGCAATAAAAATATTCATATTTTCATAAAAATGTTTAATAAAAGATTAATTTAAAAACTAAACATTTAATTTAAACTGAAAAAATTTTGTTTCATTTGATCGATTAAACTTTTTTCATTATCATTATTTTGAATAAAATGAAATTTAGAAATAAAATTCTTGTAAATTTGATCACTTTTCCTTATTATTTTTTATATAAAACTATTATATGTAATAATAATAATATATGAAAAATAATATAAATCTTATATGTTACTATTTTTCATATCCATAACTAACAAACTGGAACATTATATATCACATGTTTCTGCTTTAAAAAATTTTCATATTTAATAAAAACTAACTTATAACAAATAGAATTCTCAGATTCTGATCAATAATATTAATAAAATGATTTATCACAATAAATCACATCCAGATCCTTCAGGGATAACAAATATATTAACAAAAACTGAATTTTGAGATTCAGTTGCCTCCGTAGAACGTCACCTAACCTTGTGTATACTGATACCTTCCTCTGGAGTTATTATTAAGAACTGATTGGAAAAATCCCAATAAGCAGTCATGTGAAAACCCATATTTGATACTACGACAATATATTCGCAGATGGCAAACAACGTGTAAACTGGAAAAAAAATTTTAAATAAAATTAATTTATTAATCAAAAAAAGCAATTATTGAAAAGTTATTATTAAAATAACTATTATTGTTATTCAAATAATATGATTGCATAATTAAATTAAAATTACTTATTATCAAAAATTTATTATATTATACAATAAATTTTAGAATTTTATTTTTATTTTATAGGATTTTTAATAATTAAAAGCAACCATTCCACTCCAACTTCTCAATAAGAAAGCAAAAAACTTTACTTGGAGCACTTACATACAAAACATTGATGAAAAAATGAAGTGCTTTTGAAACTGTGCTCCATCATCAGAATTCCACACTTATAAAATTCATTACTACACAGAACATTTGAACATCAAATACTTTTAACATCCAGATTTTTCAAAATGTGCATGCATCAAATTTTTATGTATTACTTCCAGCACAGATTTTTAACAGATATTAGATAAATAGAATATCACATTTAGATTTAAATCTAAACTCTGCATATTTTTTCACACAATTTTACCATGGACATCGTCTTTTACTTTTTAATTGTTGGCATCCATTTCCCCTCATTTGGAAAGCTATCAATTCAGGTATACCTCGACTTACATCGTTTCGAGTTACGTCATTCCCGATTATACGTCGTTTGTCAAAAAATATATGGAAAAATAAAAATCAAGTTTAAGTCATTTTATTCGACTTTACGTCTGTCTGCCACAAATATTGAAGTCATAATATCACTAGAAAAATGGTTAAAGCAAATAAAATCATATTAAAATATATACATTTACAAGTATGTACTGTATTTACAGTAAATGCATTCATAAATTTAGATTACTTTTTTCTGTACTATATTAAAAACTAAAATTTATTTGTTTGTAAGCTTAAAATAGATCCTTATTAACCATATATTATTAAAAATGCATTAATAAATAAAATACAGAACTGGGAATGGTAATTTATGGTTTAGCCTAGTGAGAAGTATATTTGGAGACAAGTAAATTTGACTTATGTCGTTTTTCGACTTACGTCGCCTCTCCCGGAACCAATTACCGACGTAAGGCGAGGTATACCTGTATCTCTCTTTAACTACCTCCTCTCTCCTACCATACTTATGAACTCCATTTGTCCTGTCATCACGATGTTAACTTTGGGAATTTAGTAAAGTTTACACAACTAAAAGAATATTGAGAGCAAAATATTGTTTAAATACTGATGTATCAAATAATAGAAGTTAAATTTAGTTATATAATATCAATTTACTTTAAAAATGAATAAACTAATTTTTTTAACAAATTTAAAGTAAAATCTATATTAACAATCAAATGATAGAGTCAGATTAACTATTGGGCTATAATTCAGCTAATTAATTATTATTAATTTAATTAATTAATTAATTATATAAATATTATGTAATTTGGGCTAAAAAGTTAGTAGTTATATTGTCATCTAGTATTAAATTTAATTAGAAATAATTTAGACTATTCTAAAAGAAAAGATCAATCTGGAGTGAGTGTGTCTCAAAACTCATAATATCTACTTACTTGGCAATATCTCAAAATTAATTGGTATTTGGAAGCAAATATCAGAGGTCCAGATAGAAAATTAATTGGAAATGCATCTGCATAGTGAACAGAAATGGCAGGTTTGAGTCATGCTCCAGATCAATTTTTTCTTCCAGAATAATTTAACTTAGTTATTTCTAATTAAATTTAATACAAGATGGCAACATAGCTACATACCTTCAGTCCAAATTATATAATATCTATATTATTACTTAGCTGCATTCTAGCCCAACAGTTAATCTGGCTCTATCATTTGATTAATATAATTCAGGCTTGGTTTTATATATAATTATACAATTCATCTCGGATTTCATAACTAGCCAAAGTATGTGACTGTTTATTGCAATTATTATTGTTTGGAAAAGCCTATGTTTACATTTTATGTAAATTTAATAGTCTTTAGAATATAATTATAATTTTTAGTTTACAAATCATTTTTGAATAATAACTTAATTTTCTAGCAATTTGGTTCACTCTTTGTTCAAAATTTACGGCCCTAAAAAGGGCCTTTTCAATGGTGACAAGTCTGCTGAATGTCTATGGAAAATTTTTGATTTCTGACAGCTCCTTGTCTTAGTAGAATCTTCTGTAATGTTAATGATTAAACAAGGTTATTCTTGATCCAGTGAGCAGTCAACCACCCAGAATTTTTCTTCAATATTGTATATTTGATAAATACAGTCTGTCCATACTTGGGCAAAACAGCATTCATCCTTTCTTCCAAAGTGTTTTCGTGTCAGCAATTTTCCTGATTGAGTTCGAATGAGGTACAGTACATATCTTTTGACTCCAAGCTAATTCAATCTAATTCAGCTTACAACAGTTGGATAGGATTCTTGGGACAATGAACTGGCTTCTAAAATTTTGTCAATTTGATATCAATGAGCATGAATGACTTCTAATGATTAAGTTTTATCATTTCTTGTTACTCATCAATATTTTTTCTATTTACTTAGTAGCAAAACAGATACTTATAAACTTTCATGTGAATTACCATTTTAAAACAATCATTATATATGGATTAATAATCACTAATTTCACTTCGTTTTATTTTCTTCTTCAGTGATAATAAATTGCTAAAAATATAATTTATAAAAATAAAAATTATTCTCAGACAAATATTATTATTATTATTATTATTAATACTAAAGGTCAAAAAACAGTAAGAAATCAGCTTGACGTCGCAGGAGTGGTTTACAAGGTATCATGTGATTGTTTACAAGCGAAATCATATGTTGGAGAAACGGGACGGAAGCTCAAGACACGCCTAAAAGAACACAAGGCAGCGATTCATCTAAAAAGACAAGAGTCACCATGGTATCAACATTGTGTTAATTATAATTGTAAAGTTAATAGAAGTTCTGTAAAAATATTGTATAAAATGGAAAATTTGTTTAAAAGATGCATGGTAGAACACCTTTGTATAATAGAACATGCAAATTTGTTGAATCAGAATGTCGGTCGAAACATTGATGCATGCTGGGAAAAATTTATTTGTATAAAAGGTAACAAGTGTCTAGTTGTTGGATAATCCACTGAAGAGGCTGTAACGGCGAAATGCATTTGGAAAGTGATTTGAAAATTATGAAAATAAAAGAATTAACCCTGGTTAAAGTAAAGTATCTTTGTTGATTACTATTTGTCCGCTAATATAAATCACTTGAAGTCAGTCTAGGAAAGAGTGTTTTAATTTACTCGTCTATTTTGTCTGAGAATAATTTTTATTTTTAGAAATTATATTTTTAGAAATCTTACCGATCACATTGTTTTATATTTTTATATTTTTGATCAACGATAATAAATTGCCTTTTCTTTCAAATTCCTTCTTCAATCTGAAAATTATACTTGTTGAAATACCAAATTCAGTTGTTATATTGATTTCACTAACTGATTTGTTTATATGTATCTAGTAGTTTCCATAAACATATAAACATTAAGTACAGTTTTCTTTGCTTGAGAATGCTGTTACTTTCTTTTAACATTCTTCTTGAAATATGAAAAATACACCATTATTGCAAATGGCTTTATGGCCCATTTCAATTAAAACAAAATTACCTTATTAAAATAACATCAATATTTTGCAAACAAAAATCAAAGGTAATTTTATTATTTTTTTCACATTAATGATTTGGATAATATTGTGTTTTAATAACAACTAAAACTTTGAAAAACAAATTAATCTGGGAACTTTTTCTTTACAATGGATGGATATAACCTAAACTCTATTTACATTTTACTGATGTAATATCAAATAAAAGTGAGGCCTTTAAGTCATGACATTCTACAAAACATTGATAATATATATGTTCATCTTATATGTAAAATAAAAATAATTAATTTAATAATTACGAGTAAATCCTTGTGCTTAAATGAAAATTATTTAAATACAAAGTAAACAAAAGATATAAAAATTTTGATGATAATAAACAAAAAAAATTATTTAAATTTGTTTATATTTAAATACATGTTGTGCAGTAATTAAAGTTGGAAATGAAGATTAGTACTTCATAATTCTTAATTGAAAAGAAAGTTGAGGTATTTGAATCTATCTCTGTATAAAATATACAGTAAGACAGGTTTTGTCGACTTTGGTTATTGTTGGTTTCAGTTTTTGTCGATTTTTTCCATGAAAAATTTGTTTTGGTTTTCATCAGTTGCCTCAGATTTTGTTGGTGTGTACACATAAGCTCGTTGCTAATTTTTCAAAAACAAAGGGTGGCCCAAGCATTTTCCTGCTCAGTGTGTCATTGTTTCTTGTTGTGAGAGCATTACCCCGCACATCTAGCCAATTCCATTACTTTCCTTTCCTTTTAGCTCCATCATGGGACCAAAGAAAGATTCCAGAATCCAACCCTTCGAATGCCATGTTAAATGTTCATTTATTCTTTATATTAGTCTTTTATATTCATTTTATATTAATTTCTTATTGTTTTTAGTATTAAACACTATATTTATTCTATAAAATGTGTTTTTGGTATGTATTTTGGAGTGTCTAGAATGAATTAATTGGATTTACATTGATTCATATGGTATTGAATAATAAAATAATTGCCTTGGTTTTCATCAGTTTCGGATTTCTCCGATTGTTTTTGGATGGCTTATCGATGAAAACAGAGGTATCACTGTCTTTATATTTTTTAAAGCTTATTAAATATTATAATTGTCTTAAACATATTCTGCTGTTAATAAATACATTAAAAACATAAATTCACTTATATATAAATACTATAAATATAAATATATAGGTAACAAGCTTACCTCCTCCTTCACAGTACCAATTATGACGAAAGAAAAAATATAGTGCCATTAGAAAAAATATTACATTCACCATTCCTAAATATGTCTTTATGTTAAGAGATTTTGTCTCCTGCAAGAAAATTATAATTTATACTCAATGATATGATTCAATAAATATGAAAATTCATTTTAAATATTAATAAAAATTTTAAAAAGTTAAAAAATTATTAAATTTATAAGAATGTTTATAATCTTTGGCCTTCTTAACATCCCAAAAAGTAAAACAATCAAAAATACAATTTGAATGCTTTTTTTAACTTAAAAAATTTTGTTGTGCTACTTCTTTAATATAATAAGTAGACAGGCAAGCAGAGATTCTAGATTAAAGCCAAATGATTGTCAGATTATAATCAGGCTATATTACTATTATTAATAATCAAATGCTAAGTAATTTGGCACTAGAGGTAGGTATTAGTTACCATCTCTTTCTAAATTTAATAATTAATTTGAAAGGTTCTGGAAGAAAAGAATTGGCCTGAAGCAGACTCCTGCTTAATGTGCAGTCACATTGTCAGTTAAACTAACCAGACCTGTCTGATCTTTGTTTCTAGAACTATTAAATTAGATATAACCATACTCAGTTACCCACAGTTATATAGTAAAGTCAAATGATTGCCCAATATAATCTGGCAATTGTTTGGCTTTGATATATATCTATTGAGTTTTAGATTTTGATATTTGAGATCCTAGATACTTATTATCAGTATGGATTAAGACACAGAATATTTCAGAAATATTTCACAGCTTATAGAGAGAAAAAGTGTCAGTTTTTGACCTAAAGCTTAATTAATGAGTTATTAAACATAATAATATAGTGGCATAATTTGTTTTTAAACTTTAACTATTTAATATGACCTACACGCAAGAAATTTTGTCAAATCACTAACTGTTGTTTTTTTAATAATTTGTAGTACTGCACTGAAGAGGGACTAAGCATTTATATAAGCCTGAAATGCATATGTCAAAACAATAAAAGAAGTGTCTAACCTGAAAGCTGTATTGATAGTCTACCAAACTTAATTTGTCAGATTAAAGAGACATTCATAATGAAATAACAGCTACCATAAGTGATATTTAGAAGTAAGTGATGTTTAACTATTTAATACATAAGAAATTAAATTTGTTTACTAATCATAATTTCTTTATTAAACAGCTGACTTTTTAATTAAAACTTCTTCAATTAACTCAGGGCTTCTTAAACTTTTTTATTCACGACCCCATTTATGATTGTGATTTTTTTCGCAACCCAAAAAATATAAAATAAAGATACATACAAATTTGCAAAAACAATAATGGTGTACTACCACAGTTCTCTCTTATGTTACAATAGAACAGAGACAACTGAATACACTGAAAAGCGACAATAATACACCAGTTCACACTACAATCAGTGTTGCTGAATCGTTGTCTTTGTACACCAGAAGCACAACTCACGAAACCTATGACACAAAGCGTGCCATTTTCAAACTCTCACAAATTATTTTCAATATTTTGCATTCAAATCTCACGACCCCAAGATTTCGCTAAGCGACCCCAAATGGGGTCGCGACCCATAGTTTAAGAAGCCCTGAATTAACTAATCCAGCTAAGAATACCTTTTCAGCTTTTCATCAGCATCTTTGAGAAATGGGGCAATTTCAATAGTCACCATTAACAGAGGAAGAGCAAGAACCACTTAAACACTGGATACTTTTTATGAAGTAAGTTATTGTTAGAATTAGTGAGAATCCTTATAAAACTATAAGACAAATAGCTAGAACTAAAGGCATCCCTCATTCAAGTTTATGGAATATTCTTCATGAACATCAATTGCATCTCTACCATTTACAGCGAGTGCAGGTACTTAAGCCATGTAACTTTTTTCTCCATAAGTGCAATTTCATCTATGTGTCATGTGTAAAGAAATATTAATCCTTGTTTTCTTTGAAATGTACTTTTCACATATAAAACAATATTACTGATATATTGATTAGACTTAAAAAACAGATATGACACAATAACACTTCAATGTTTAATAACTTGTTAATTAAGCTTTATATTCAATCTATGAATAAAAAGCCCTTGACTTTTTATTCAGGTTTTTACTTCTAAGTCTGTGAAATTTAGTTAAACATTTCTAAAACACCATGTATTATATTTTATTCAATATAGTCTTGGTATAAGTCTCTAGATGGATAAATATCTTAAAACAGCATGAAAGAGCATTTAAAAATAAATATAAGTTCAAATAACTTAATATCTTTTAAATTAACATTGAAACAGATGCAATCTACAACAAATAAATTTTAATATATTCAAAATTCAAAAACTATAACTAATTTGAAAAAATATTCTTCATTTTTTATATTTTAAACAAATCATAATTAAAGTTAATGTAAACAAACAATATTACCATAGGAGCAATCTTGACTTTAGAAGCAATTCTTGGCAATAAACACAAAAGGAACATATAAGTTAGTGAACTTAGCATAAAAGTAACAAAGAATTTTTCATGGGCAGCTGAAAAAAATGTTCAGAATAATCAGTAATCAGAATAATAACAATAAAAAATTTCTATAAATTATTAACTTAATAATTAAACTATTAATTTAGTTCCTATATCATTGGAATCTCATTTAGATTTGATGAACTTTCAACATATCTCCAAATATCCAATATTTTTAAAAATTAAATTGAAGACACAATCTCTTGAAAATGGAATCACCATTTATTCACTTTCAATGTTCCGATACAAATACAAATTTTTGATGACTGACCTTTCATTGTAGGCTGCTTGGCCATCAAAATTAAAACTCTCCTTAAAACCAAAGAAAAAAAGTATCCAATTAAAAACACAAGTTTAAACAGTATATTCCATATATTTCAATATTCTGAAATACAGTTTAGTTTATTCTAGAATATTGAAAGTGAAAAGATGACTGTATTTATCCAATAATATTTTATTTTAAGATACAGTAGACCCCCCTATAAAACGGGTTCATATAATACAGATTCATATATAACAGCGAAAAAACTGTGATCGTATTCGTATAAACACGCTAAAAGAAACTTGTACAATATGGTGAAACATCATCGCCGACTCGTGTCATGACAGGATTGGTCGAATCTAGCGATATTGCACAAACCGTTGAGTTTAAACAAGCAGCAGACCTACTAAAAAAAATTTATTATTTAACGTCCATAAAAATTATATTTATATTAATGATGTCTCCAAAGTTCAGCGAATTTTTCGCAAAAAAAAATAATTTATCAGGAAGCACGTGAGCACCATTTGACAACAAGCTCCATGATGAAAACAAGCTTAAGCAATGACATAGTCGAACGGTGCACGCTCGGTAAGTAATCCTACAATTTTTTGTTTATAGCATAGTTTATATGGATTACTGTATTCCCAAAAAATTATACATGTGTGACCTTTCGGTCGGCACCTCCTTGGTACCCTGTCAGGATTGACACCACCCTGGCGTGATGTAATTGCCCGAGACGGCAATTACATCACGCCGTCGTGTGAGTGGTCCCGTACGTGGTCAGACGGATTCGTAATGTCGATTCGAGAGACAACATTGGAAGTGACTCAGACACACTTAACAATTAACAATGGTTTATTTAAAAATCTATTGGATAAAGTGTTGTCACGGAGAGAGAGAGTTCACATACGATTCGCGGGGTTATAAATACCTTTGGTAATAGATATCCCGGTTGGGTCTTGTTGAATTGGAGAACAAGATCTTCTTATGGGTTTTTTCAGGAGGTATCCAGTTCTGTTGGGTATTTTTAGTTATTCAGGCGATAGTGCACTAACACACACACACACACACACACACAAAAAGGTTATCCTATGGGCGACGATTAATTCGATGACGATTAGATGGACGATGATTGAAGGGAGGACAACTTCTTTCCTCTCCGAGGACTAAAACGGCGACTAACTCTTTCCGGCCGTCTCTGGTGATATTCACGGGCGATTTCAGCCATGCAGAGGTTAATAGTTTACAAGAAAGCGTCATGTTGCTTTCGAGAAAATGTAACGGGAGACTTTCTCAGGTAGCTAAGAACAACAATTGTTGCGTAATTCGCGAAATGTTAAAGACTATTTCTAATATAAGAATTTCTGCTATCTTACACATGTTTTGGAAATGTTGAGTCAAATTAGTCTAGAATCGATTAATTTTATGGAAGAAAACCTTTCAAACAGCCGTAGTCCCTAAACTGCACACACGGCAGGCTGTGATTGGCTCATGTATTTAAGTGATCATAAAACACGAATTCATATAAAACAGAACGTATCTACCGTATTATAGGGGGTCTACTGTATCTATGTAAATAACAACAACAAATTAAAAATCAAGTTTCAAAACACCTTTCTTTTTTTTCTAGAAAAATTTTTAATTAAATCAAATAAACTAACATTTAATTTAAAAATTTGCTAGAAAAAAGAAAGGTGTTTTGAAACTTAATATACAGAAGTTGTAGTTACTGTGCATAAAATTAAAAATCATTTTAAAATAAATAACTGATTACTTATTAATAATTACGTATAAAGTTATTTTATTGAAAATCATGATTATCATCACAAGTCATTGCAATATACTAAAACTTTCATGTTTCTTTAAATATACATACATATATAAGTATATTTTTAGTTTTAAAGATCTGAGGGCTTCTAGTGAAACAAGCAAAAAGTATTCATAATTTCTTAATAAGAAATTTTAACTTGAAGAAAGCTTGATGATATATAATTATCAACAAGAAATACTTTGTTACTTATCCCTAAAAAATAATTGTACTGTAATTAATTAACCTAAATGTATTCATTGATATAACAATTATTAATTAGAGCAGTTTTTCTTAAACTTTTCTTGTTAAAGATCAATTTTTCCAAAAGTGTTTTTTCAGATTCACTTCAGATACAGAAATAGATGATTTGCTAATAGATGATGATCAGGAAGTAAGGATTCTATCATTATGGCTTTGGAGATAAAGGAAATAAGTATTCTGTGATACAAACAAAATAAATAAAAAAGGAATTATACTTAAAGATTAAATAAATAAGGATATTTATAAATGTTTTATTAAGAAATTAATAATTTTTTTAATGAGAGGTATGATCTGTTTTTCATCAGACAATAACTTTAAATTAAAAGAAAATAAGTCAATTTGATCCTCAAACCTGGTTCAACATATAATCTATTACTTATTTGTTTTTCAAAAAAAATTAATATTGAGAAGTCTCTCATCATAACAAAAGGAACATTAAGTCTCAACTTTTCTGGTAATAACTTTAAACTTTGCTATAGGCTATACAAGTCTAAAGTTATATTCATAAAATTCATTGCCTGTAGTCTATGCACAAGGGCAACTAATATGTGAAAAATCTAAGCATTATAACAGACTGACTATACATGTAAAGATATAGAGTTGCCAGGTATTTTCAATGAACAGTTGTCAAAAGCAGCCAAAAATCACCAAATTCTTGTTGAAAATAGCTAAAAAGTCATCACATTTTTGTTTTAAAAATTTTAATTAATATGAGGTAAAAATTAAGTATGCATATTTTGATCATATTTTGTTTTTCTGTGATATATTGGTAATAATAATTTTAAAGCATTGGTGAAAATTGGCAAAAATGATCAACACAATGGCATATAATTAATTCTACTACACAGAACAGTGAGATTTACATAAATAATCTGATTCCTGATGCTATTCCTTTCCTACTGTTTTTATTTTGGAGCTGTACCCTAAAATCTTGGTTATATGAGTATCTTATCCACAAAAAGTCAGCATTTCTTTATAATGTTTGCTTTTGCAGCTTATACACCAAGATAGCCTACAGCCAAGATTTTAGGGTAGTAATATTTTTTCGTTTTTTAAATAAAATTTATACTCAACGTTTTAACTTTTTTCTAGATCAATATTTTTTACACACCCTAAGCTAGGCTGTGTTCATACCACACTTTAAAAAAGATTAATTTAGAACTATACATATATATAAAGAATACTTTATATGAAATACTTACGATAATTTTCAGACGATGACACATATGTCAATCCTATTAAGCAAGTAATTTCTATTCCATTTAATATACAGGCAAGAGTAACTAATCTTTGCCATATCACTTCATTTAAAATTAAGTTGCTGTAGTAACTATAATACATAAACATTACAATATATCGTGGTGCAGCATGTAATCCAATACCAATTCGCCAAACATATCTCTGAGGAGTATAACCTCCAATAGCAGCACTTATAGATGGTAAATAATTTGATACCTAGAAAAATTTAAAATTGTTAATATAATATAATAATATAATATAATTACAGCAAAAATAAAAATTGAACATAATTAGCAAAAGTAAAGAATTTGAAATTAAAATCATGAAATTTGATATAAATAAAGATTTTATGCCTAGTTAGTTGTATTAAGTAAAGTAATTGCTGTATTTTTATAATTGAAAATTTCTGTTTAAATATTGGCTTTTTATAAATGGTATGCAGAATGTATAGACAAAGAATAAAAAAAAACTGAATGCACATTTATCCAAAATTAAGAACAACAATTCAAAAAATAACAAATAAAATTTTGATAGTAGCGAGGTTGCAGCCGAAGTTTTCATCTGTAAAATGTGAATGTCGACTGCCGCTTACAAGACAGGAGTGCTCGACGTTTGACGTTCACATTTTACAGATGAAAACTTCGGCTGCAACCTCGCTAATAATTACTATGTTTTAATGACAAATATAGAAGCTAGTTTATAAAATAAACTTCAGAATCTTTGTTATACATTCAAAAAGTCCTTAAATTTTACAATTATATGAGTAATCATTTAATATAAATTTATGTCTCACTGTCTTGATTTCTTCACAAAGAAATCAATAAAGTAAGACATAAATTAATATTAAATGATTACCTATATAATTTATTTAAAAAATGGGAGACAGAATATTTTTACTACTGATATAATGTAAAAAACAAAAAAGGAAAAGTAAGTTATTTTGCTTTTCCATATATTACAAACATTTTTGAAAAATGTGCTAAAAAACTTAAAGAAAAACAAATAATTTTGGTGCCAACTATGAAAAATAAATTAAGTAAAATAATAAATATAAATAAATAAAAAAAATTGATATCTTACAAGAAACAGCAATCATTTACAATATAAAATGTACATGTCACAAATCAAAAATATATATAGGAGAAACAGGAAGAAAATTGGAAAAAAGAATTAAAGAACATTTAGTGGGAATTAGATTGAAATATGTAAATTCACCATGGTTGACACACATAAATGAGAATAATTGTAATATAGATACTTCAGAAATTAAAATAGTGGATAGGAGAAAAAATATTTATAAAAGAAAATTTAAAGAACATTTAATAATCATTAATACTAAAAATAAACTGAATGTAAATGAAAGTATATAAATTTTCACTGGTTAGTATGATGATAAAATGGCCACCAGCACATGACTAAATTGTATCTCAGTACTCTTGTATACTAGAGCATTCATGTTATTATTGTATTAATATATTCCTACCACTGAAGAGAAACTGTTAATTGATACAGTTCAAAATGCACATGGTGTGAGTACATCTTTTCAATAATAATAAAAAAAAAAACATTGAAAAGATCAGAGTAATTTTTATTATATTCATTATTTTAAAGTGACTTTTTTTAAAGTTTTTTAAAATTATATATAAATATACCTTTTTGATATTATATGTTATAATGTAAGATACTGCTTAATGCTTAGAACTTAGAGATAAAGAAAACAATGCTAAATGGGATCATTTTAGCAATATGTGAATAGCAATAGGTTAAATATAAACAAACAGAATAATGTTGAATTTTTACTTAAATTTATATATAGCATGTATATCTAATGATATTGTTATGTTTTTATAATTTTGCATTTTAGATGAAGGATCTGACTAAGCTTGTCAGCATCTTAGCAATGTATTCATCAAGAATAGGTTATCATTTCTTCTACCATTACCATTAATGAGGATGTTCTTGGTATCAATGTATAATCTGGATCATTTTCTACAAAGTGTTCCATAATCTGTGTGATCTTATTGTAATACTATTGCTAAATAAGTTTATACAATAAATTCTATTTATACATCATAATCAAAAGCTGTCTAGATACCTTGCTATGTAGATCATTGTTGCTAAGACTCCAACCATAAGTCTTCAGGAGTTCCAGAATTATTGTATTAGCATCCAAAGTTGAATAGTTTTGGAAATTTTTCCAAACTATTACAATTTCCAAAAACTAATACTGCAATTATCAATTTCTGGAAATTATCATTTTATCAAGCATTTGCAAACAGCATTGAACAAGATATCACTAAATGAGATCTTATTAATATAATGATAATATATTGTTGTTGAGGTAATTATTAACTATCATTTCATACTTATGTAAATATAAAATTATTGTTAATTGTCATTGGAAAAATATATCTTATACCGATTTCTTTTTGATATGCTCAATAAATATTAAAAATATCCATCATATTAACTACCGGTTATTCACTGGAATATGAAAGAAATTATTATTTTGTCATGCCAGATTTTTATCAGATAAAAGTTTAAGATCACTGTCTTTCAGCATTAATAAATCAGTAGGAAATTATTATTCTTTTCCTTCATATAATAAATTGATAAAAGTTAATACACTCTACTTATTTTACTTAAAGAAGACAATTTTTTGAATGTGTCTTCTAAAAGATCCCTTTCCATCCTTTGACAATCTCTGGTGGCCAGCAACTCTACAACAACTACGATACTATGAGTGTCTGCAGAACCTTTTCAACCTTATGAGCAGCTTTGTGGATGAAAGACAGGTTGGTTATTATAGCAATAACACCATCCACATCCATCCTGTTTTGAAGGGCTACCCTCAGGGTTCCATAACAGGCCTAGGTCTATGGATAGCCCTATACAATAACTTGCTTGCATCACTAAACACTAGTAGTAACTATTTGATACAAGGCTATGTTGATATGATTGTGACACTTCCCAATTAAATGTAATCAGCTGCTTTGCCATATCTTTTCCCCAGAGGAGGGATCGTGAATTTTCAATCAACCTTGACAAGTGCAAATATATAATATTCTCTAAGAAAACACCTCTGCAGAAAACTCCATGCATCACCATCAACGACATAAGAATACCAAGGTTAAGGATATAAACTACCTAAAAAAGAATATGAAAGAGACAGTTGCTTGAAAGAAACATGTAAACAATGTCTGTGCCAGAGCTACCCAGGTGACCAATATCCTCCCTAGCATCTCTCAGAACATCTGGGGATCGGCATCAATGCAGCCCATCACATTTATCTGGGGGCTATCAAGCCCATCCTGTTATATGCATCTCCTATTTGGGCTAAGGCTACTTTTAATCAACACCTGCAGCAAATTCTCTTGCAGCATTAGAGCACTGTACTCTTGACTGTTGCACATAACAAATATGATTCAATAAAATAACAATGTAGAATATTTTAAACCTTACCACAATGCTACACATTTCTATCTTTTTCTCCTGGTTTCAATGACTGGACCAATCCCAATTCATTTTAAATAAGTCATTGCAGCTATTTTTGACATTATTTTCTTGCTTTGTTGTTATCACCCTGCTTTCTTCCATCAGAATGTGATAAGAAATTTAATACTTCCAATTTTGCAACAATTAAATTTATGTTCTAACTAAATAGTATTACATAGCAATACTATTTAGTAATTGTGACCCAAACATTTATTTGGTAATTCTAAATTATTTTTTAATAAATAATTAATAAATAATTATTTTTTAAATTATTAAAAATAAAATTATAGAATTCATTACTAGCAATACTAGTTGTTAAATCTAAAAGAAAACAATTTGTTTGTCATTTGATCCACTACTGACAGAGAAGGGAGTTTTGGAAAACAAAGTAATAAAATGATTAGCAGTTTGTTGTCCTTTACAGTGGGGACCAGCAGAGAGTCTATTACTTTCATTACTTTTGTAGGAGAAAATAAACAAAGCTTTACTACCCTGAAGTTGAAAGATAACACAATCCTGTGAAATTTAACCTGATGTCAATAAGTGAAAGTTGAAATGATTTATAGTGAATTGAAATTTGATAAGTAGTTTTTTGCATTTACAGATCAAATTTCAGAGAATATAAATGAAAATATCATTTTTTTAAACACACAAGTATTTTATACTGTTAGATAGTAGAGAAAGTGTAGAAATCAAAGATATAATCATAGTCAAGCATATACTGTATATCTATAAAAATATAAAAATTGCATTAATTTCATTACGCATCCTGCAAATACACGTGTGCAAAATGAAGTCACAATACTCTATGCACCCAAAGGGGAGTTAATGTTTTTCTATTTATTGTAAATTCTTGTGTAAATAGCTAGGTAATCTGAGACTACTTGTAAAACATTACTTTCTGTAACTTCATTCCAGTGGTACTTGCTGATAAGCATCCTTCTGCATAAAACAAGACCATACTGTATTCTAAATGTGGACTAGATTAAATGAAAACTTCCTCGCCTTACTTTTTTTTTTATGATATAATTTAAATCAGATATATTACTCAATTTTGTATGTTTTCAGAGTCCATATTTTATTATAAAGTTGGAAAGATTAAATAAGTATAAAGATTTCATTCATTTTATTTTTTAAAGTTAGATGATACAGATTTTATAATGAAACTTTCAAACAATCTGGTTTCATAATAATAAAAGATTTTTTGAATTTATATAAAGTTTATTGGTAATCTTATTGAATCAATTTTAAACTTCCTAGGATCTAAGAACTGCCTATGACTATGTACTGAAACTTTGTTAATTTCCCATAAATAAAAATAAGTTAATATAGTAATCAACTTAAATTCTAACAGAAAATATAGAAATATGTTTTCATAAGATAGTTTAGAACAAGAATATTAAGCTTAGTGACTATGCATTTATATAAGCCAATATGATGCAAATATTTAGTGAGACTATATTTGATTTTTCTGAGGATTAGTTCAGTTATTGGGAAGACTTCTTAGAAGTAATCTGAGTTCACTGATTGTAATAAATACTTAAATAATGAAAGTTGAATTTGTTTGATATACTGCAAGTATATCAAACAAAACCTTTACCATTCATACCACACAACAAACATTTTTGATCTTACACAAGATCTGCATCAGGTCAACAGAAAATCAAAAATATTTGTCGAATTTTACATTAAAATTATTTACTGGATGGTAAAAGTTTTGTTTGATGTATACTTAGTTATCAATTCAGTTATCAAAAAAAAGGTAATTTTGAAGAATGCAAGCTCTGACTTCTTATTTTTATTATAGAATTGATAAATAATTGAATTTATATTCTAGAAAAACTATTTTATTGAAGAGTAAATGAATTAAGCCATCAAAAATACAATCAAATTTCACATCATATCCATTAGCAACATTCAAATATCTGGAGTTTTCAGGACCAGTTTTACCATTAGTGAATCTAGGTCTAATGGGATGCCAGTTTTTTTATAAATATCCACATGTGTAGGTTTATGTATGTGTGCAACTGTATGAGTATAACACACACACAGAGAGAAAGAGAGATTGTGTATGTGTGTGTATATATATAATCTATAGGGGCACTTAAATTTTCTTTGCCTATGGGCATCAGATACTCTTGTGCCAGCCCTGGGAGTTTTAAAATTCTCAGAGTAAATCCTAATCCAACTTTAGTTTGAAAAGACATTCTTAATCTGAGAAATTAGAATACATGAAAACTTATATTCCAAACAGAGAATGCTAATGAAAATGCTAACCTAATTATGATTACAGAATAATTTACAAATATTAGCATACTTCAAAAAATTTGTTGAATAAAAACTGACTTCTTACTAAAATTAAAATCCAGTACAGGAAATAAACAGGTTCCAAATTAAAAGTAAAAAGCAAATATTTATTTAATTTCTTAGTTCTTTAGCATTCCATATTAAATTGGTTATATAAGAACAACTATATTATGGCCAGCTGTTTTACAAAATATAATTCAACATCAATATCACAGATTACGACCTTTTCATATATCTTGCATGCTTCATCAATATATCAATCATTAAATTGAATATTTTCATAGAATATGCAATTTTATTTTTTAATAAAAAAATATTTTAAATTTCTTTTTATAAAATAGTCAATAAATAAGCATTTAATTTTGGTTTAAACGATTTTAATTAATATAAATCCTCCTCGTTACACGCCTGAATCTATGTTATTAAAATGATTGATTAATTGTTTCACAGTGATACATACAAATACTCGAGCACGACACACCCCAGGAAAAAAAAAATTAAAAATGTATTAAAATTGAAATAAGAGAGTCTTACCTGACAATGAGTGGAAGTTACTTGTCTAAAGTTAAAAATTAAAGACCAAATGACACAAAATATAAAAGAAAAGAAAGGTAAACAAACTGTACATAATGCTATCGAACGGAAACGAATTTGAATTAACGCTTTGGATTCAGAAGACGGCATTTGATACAATTTATGTTACATCTATTGTAATACGGGTTAAAATAAATGTTAATATAGAATATTTATAGCATTTAAAAAATGAATGATTTTAAACGTGTAATTGTAGTGTCTACACAACACCAAAGTCGATAAATAAGTACAGTTTGTAAAGCATGGCAATCTATGCGCACCCTAACGGAATTTGACGAAAAATAAGATATAATTCAAAAATTTATTTAAAGTAAATGCCACTTTTTATATTATTTAATTATTTAATTGTGATAAGAATAATTAATCATTAATAATTGTAATGATTTTGCATTAAATTTTCATCCGAATTTATGATGTTGCTAATATTCGTTTTTCATTCTGAAAAGAATCAGCACATAAGCATATACAGTCGACCCCCCTATAACACTGTTGATTATTCCGTTTTATATAAATTCCATGTTGTAGGAGTCACTTAGATTTTACAAATATGTGAGCCGTTCACAGCCCGGCACACGTATTTGTAAAATCTAAGTGACTCGTACAACATAGAATTCGTATAAAACGGAATTATCAACAGTGTTAATGGGGGGGTCGACTGTACTCTGAACATTAATATATAACTATTAGGAAATTATTTTAAATTTTATTAAGTATACAATCTTAATGAAAATATTTTACAAAAATGATAGTTTGAAATAATAAAATACACAGAAGACTTTTTTATAAAACTTTTTCTGTTCTGTGGGCACTAATAGGGCTTTTTTAGCAAGCCCATTACGGATTCAACCAAGCCCACAATGGAACAGCAAAGTGTTGTGGGACAAGGCCCAACACTTTCAGACAGACCAACCTCCTGAACAATTCCTATGGTTCAAATTTTCGAAATATCCCAGAAATTTTTCAGGGGATTGGTCCGTCCCGATTCGATTCTGGGACCCTAGAGTGGTAAGCTGTCATCTTAGCTGCTCGGCCATAAGGCCATCAATCATACATGAAAGATCAACAATTATAAGCAATTTTAAAGACAAGTCATCTCGATAGCGAAACTTTTTTTTATTTGCTTTCATTTAATATAAAAGTTGCATACATTAATTCTAAACCAACCTAAAAAAGTGTAGAAATTTATAAAATGTTAGCAGAAATAATCGAATTATATACATTGAAAGTGAAAGGCTCGGCTCAGATAATGAAAAGGTTAATAAAAATGCTAAATATAAAAATATAATAATTTAATTGCACAGTAAACTAATGACTTAGTGATTTATATATGTTATATAATCTATTATATAAATATTATTAATTAAAAGTGAAAATTTATTAAAATTTGTAATGATTCATTTTAAATTTTAACTTGAGCTTTACGTCGGATCTGTTTACGCTAATGTTGTTTAGATGACTTCAGTTTTCAAAAGTGCTTGTAATTGTTTATCTTTCACGTATTTTATTATTTCGAATCATCGTAAATTTATTTGCTGTGAAACTTTTTCATTAAAGTCATACACGATAATTATAAAATTATAATCAGTTCGGATATATAATGACAATAAAAATAAAAAATAATTGATTATTCGAGTTTTAAAAAGATATAGAAACAATTTCCTAAGTATACAATCTTAATGAAAATATTTAAAAAAAATGATAGTTTCAAATACACGAAAGATTTCTGTCCTTCGGGCACTAATAGGGCCTTTTCAGCAAACCCTCTCTCACCGAACCACACTGTTTTCGATGAAATACAGTATTTTGCAAACTTACTCATAAGTCTCTCGGAATTTCCATTTTCTTGAAAATGTTTGAGAAGCGCGCTTTGTCTCTACGCTCGTTAAAGTTTCTTCCCAAGACGTATCCATACAAATAATATTACGGGTCGAAAAACGCTAGGTATTTTTTGGGTCGATTCGTCCCGAATATTTCAGACCCCCATCCTTCATCATTTGGCAGCCCGTTGTGAGCCTAGCCGAACCCATAATGGACTTTGTAAAAAAAGATCATCTTAGAGTTCACGGAGCAAGACAAAAATCGAACAAACAAACAAAGCCATATCTATGTTTGAAAACAGCCTGGTACCTGTTTGGTATGAGAACACAATTAAGAAGCAAATAACGTGACGACCATTTTTGGAGCCGAATACTTATAATGTCTTCCTTTAAGTTCGGTAGACTATCATTACAGCTTTCAGGTTAGACACTTCTTTTATTGTTTCCACATATGCATTTCGGACTTATATAAATGTTAAGTCCTCTTCAGTGCAATACTACAAATTATTAAAAAACACAATTAGTAACATGACAAAATTCTTCTCGTGTAGTTCATATTTACTGACATAAAATTATCATACTTAAAAATTTGTCACACTTATACGATACCTATGGTTCTGTCTTCTAAAACCACGGTGTATAACGGGTAACATTGGAAAGATTTTAAAATACAGCCATTAAAAACACCACAAATACATTTTCCAACATTAATACGGAAAACCTAATATATTAATAATTGTATAATATTTTACTTTATAACATCATATATCTTACATGTTAATAAAATAACAATATAGCACGATACTCACTTTTAACATGTGCTCATAAAATCTCATATAAGTACAACTTTTTATGGACTAATCTCCAGCCTGTATCATCTCTTCTTAAAATCTAATAAATAAAACTTAGTAAACTTAAAAATAATAATAAATTAAGTTAATATATTAATTAGATAATCTCCAAAATTTATAGTAATAATTACCTGAGGTGTTGTTTCAGTTGTAATTCTACCTC